GAAGGATGAATGGACTAGATAGGTAAGCATCCTCTTCTCATGCTGGCTGCTGCAAAAATGAAACCACCATCTGAGTTGCCCAGTGTGGCTCCAGTAACTAGCTACTCCCCAGAGAGGGGACTTGGAACTCTATGGTTGGCTGCCTGACCTGACCATCGATCCTAAAGTTTTCTCTAGGTCCACCCGTGTTGCCTAGGGAATTGGCTGAGTGGTGCCAGGGAGAATGCACCCAAAAATGAAGCATACAGCTTACCGACGCTGATAATAGTTTGGTGTTTCGTTTTGTTCTGAAGCACACTGTTCTGAAGGACAAACCCTAAAATGGCCCGATTCATGGGGTTTGGCTTTTGCTTTGTGGTTCCATTTTGTGCCCAGTCCGTTCCTGACCAAATGCTAGCTGGGGAACTTTCTTTCTGAGCAGGACACTTGAGCAGAGTTTGACTTAGCTATGCCGCAAAGCCTTCTAATTCAGGCCGTTCTCCTAGGTGCATCACGTTCAGGCATTTGCAAGGTGCCTGTAAGATAAATGCAACTCATAGAATGGAGAAGTATGGTATTTGTAGTTTAGAAAATCCTGTCCATAACTGACTGCTTCCCTGTATTAATACAGAACATGACACAGCATCACCGCATGATGAAGTTCTCAATTCAAACGACTAGTGTTGGTGGTTGGAGACTGCAGTATATGTAACGTATTTTGCTTTACTACTTGTTACCAGAGTAGAGCGAAAATAGCAGGACTGCAGATCTTGGCAGCGGACAAGCCTTGGCACTAACATCTAGCTCCAGCCTCAGAGATGCACTGAACACTAATGCCCAGGGCTAAGAAGTGTCCCTAGCCTTGCTTAGATAGAAAGCAATCTGTTACCTGAAGCTGTCCTGTTTATAAATACTTGGTCTCTTTACATCCTTCTGGCTTCAACTGAAATTGCAAACACAGGAAATCTATCATCACACATGTTTACTATTCTGTGGCATCTTTGCACTTACTGAAATCAAAACAGGCACTTTCCTTTAGCCATCCCAATCCTTAATCTTCTACAGTCTTGTGCCTCTTGGACAAATGCATCTGAGGACTCTGGCATAGTACGGATATGACAATCCACAAGTTGGCAGGAAATGGTTGTCTACCAAAGGGTATTGGTACAGAAGATAGCAATCTACCAAATAGGACAGCTAAAACATAGGGATTTTTCATGTAGGAACAGAACTGCTTTCGGAGAGTGTAAAGACACCAATCGATATGATCCACTGTCGGTTTTTGGAGAATCAGAGCACTCGGTTGGTACTCTCATATAAGTGCAAATATTAATTTTAAAAAGCCAGTTCTATTGATCCACTTCCTCTAAGGTTAGGTTTTCCTGTGCAACAAAATAAGGTGGTAGAACTGAGTAATCACAGTTCCGAATACTCCTCCAGGTATAAACAACCCTGTCTCTATAAAATAAATGCTAACTGAAAGGACAGGGAAGAGTCCCTTCAGGATAGTAATATGCATACTATCTTGTCCGAATCATTTCACAAGTCTTGCTCCAGTCTTTCTGCTGTTAATCACATTAACCCACTAAAAAAACTGTACGTGTAGCAGAAGGAGCAACAGACTAGGACTCGGGAGACCTGGGCTCAAATCCCTGCTCAATCACAGAAAATCGCTGGTGTGTGTGTGTTTGTGTCACTAGTAAAATCAGTGCTTAAAAAACCTCATTTGTCTTGAAAATCTTTTTACAGTTGCTGAGTTGAATGCCACTTGATAACACAAAACAAGCAATCTTCCTTCAATCTATGGAAGTGTACATTTTTAGCTTCCTTTCGCTTCATCTAGTGGAACTTAGTTTGCCATTTATAGAAGAGGATGCTTGGATATAGCGAAATTATATTGTGTTTGTGTGCGAGAGAGATGCCATTATATCTTTAGCGTGTCTAGTAGCACATTCAAGATAAGGAACCTGAACAGTAGACTGTAGGGAAAATGTGAGCAGATAGAAAGTATTTTGTTGATTCTGACTTCCAGAAACACACAAATGTCTATCTTTGTTTCCAGTACTCTTCCCGCATTCCTTTCTTTCTCCCTGAGTATGCTATCTTTTGTTCACTGGCACCACCATGTGGCAGGTGGTGCACGAATAAAATATAATCATGGTAAAAAAGACGCTGTTCTAGAAGAGGAGAAATCAGTATCTTCAAAATAAAATACCACTTAGGACACAAAAGCAGAGAAGACTGAATTTGGAACCTGAAAATTCACATTGATTGTGCCCCAAAGGGGAAGGAATTTTTTTCTGTGGTAAAATAAGTATTGAACTCCTTGCATCAACTCTATGTTATGGCTCTGCACTTTGGAAAACTAATGGATATTTCTTTGTTTTCCCCTCAGTAGGGTTACTGTGATAGATAGGGGAAACTTCTCCAGTCTTCTTATTCCTTACAGAACTCACAAAATTAATCTGAATCTTGAGCCACCACACAAGTAACATCCATAATATAGAGAAGAATGTGGTTCACTTGTTCTGAAATGCAAGACCAGTTGATACCTTTATTAAACCACTAAAAAATGAAGGAACAGCTACTTTTCAATGTTAATCTGTCTTCCTCAAACTATGCACCAAGACGTTGTAGATAATGCAGGAAAAAGAAGAAAAAATAGTCCCCAAAATTTATGGCAGATAATTGTGCCTGTGTCTGCTTAATGTGAATTCAAATGCAACTATAAACACTATTAGCCGTGTAGGTTCAAATTCCACTCCAGGTAGCAGTTGGCTGGATTTCCCATTCAATAACAAACTGCCAAATAATTTGCATTATCCTCCCACCACTACTGCCTTCTTTGGAAAATCAAGGTTCTTATTTGGCCAGGGAAAAGGTAACACAGAAAAGCGCCAAGTCTCCACCAGAGAACTGGGATTTAAATTTACTCCACCCACTAGGAGAAGCCAAATTAATAGTGCTACCTAGTGGATATAAGCAGATGCAACACATGTGAAAGCAACTTGCTGAGAATTAAGTTAGCAAGAGCCAGGTAGGGAGAAATGGGGAATATCATCATTCTTCTCCGATACTTTGGTGCCTGCACTGTATTAAGCAGCTCAGATGCAAATGAGGAAAAGCTACTCCAGCTGATTAAAGGTATGATGAGATAAAAATGTAATGGAAAATATATAAATGTGGTACAGCTTAGAATATGTGAATGGGAAAATTTACATTTCAGTCTCTTAGAATATTAATGTTCAAAGAAATTAAAAGTCTTTCCTATGTAACACAAAGTTTACACTACTAATTACTACCAATTGATTTTCCGACCTTGTTTAGGCATTCACTCCTACCTTGTATTAACCTAGTAATTAAACAGATCACCTAAAATATATGCAACTGGATATTCATTCTGTTTTGTTATCATCTGCTTGCAGTTTGAGCCTGTACACTCTAGAAGCCATTCTACCACAATTGCTGTACGTGTTTACGCCAGCCTTAGGTCCCCAAAGGCCTCCACTGCCCCACCTCAACAAAAAGCAATTCAAGTACATTATTTGCGCTTTCCTAATTAACACACGCCACAACATTCAACCTTTTCCTTTTATATTTATTACCTATAGATTTTATTATATTTCCAATTTTGTTGAAATATCCAAATGATATTAAACCCAGGTATTTGTAAGTCCTTCAAGAGACTAGCCATAGATCCTCCCTTATACAGTAAAACATTCACATGTTCTCAGCAGTCTGGCAGAAGGAGGTGTGCTAGAAAAAACTTGCAGACAAGTTCAGCTGTACTATGTAGAACCCTGGTTTGCCTCAGGCACCTTACAACTCAACCTGTCCCTCCCTTCCCAGTAAGCCTGGCTGCCTACTGAAAAACTAAATATATCTGAAGTGGCAGAGTTACTGGCCTGGAATGAGATACCTCCCCCTACATGATTACAACTACACTCAAGAAATGTAAAATCTCAAAAATGGGAAATATACACCTAATGTAAGTTTTTGTTTCAATCACGGATGGAGTCCTAAATTTAGTCAGACATCTGCACAGTCACGTTGCCAGCTAACCAGATGTAGTTACCTGCTTGAACATGACACAACTCCACTGCACATGTCAGATACGAACTGAGATTCCATTCCAAAAACTAAAAAAAAATCCAGATGTGGATTCAGCTATGAAAAGGAACAGTCCACAGCTGCTGCTTCTTGTATCGTCAATTCTTAAGTATCTTCTATTAATTTGTGAAGAAATAAAAGGCATTGTGAGAATATGGATCAGTCAGCTTGATCCAACACAAGTTCATATTTGTGACTGGTTAGGTCTCCATTTGTAACTTACAGACATTTATTTGATAGAAAATCCATGGGATAGCTGTCTTTCATTTGACAAGCCATTTTAAAATTTAAAAATACAACACTGGCAGACAGCAAATTTGCTCTACAGATCCTCTCATCATTCTGACGCATATGTACTGATCCGAAAGCAGATCCTTAAGGAAATTAAATGCATTTTCTATGGGCTGAAAAGTATAACTGCTAACGTGCAGAATGTGCAGCCCATGCAGATGCCACAGTTGCCAATCAATGTTGCTGAAAGGCAAGCAGACCAGCAGTCTGAGGATTGCAGAAAACTCCATGGATCTTGACCTACTTTCAATGCTAACATACAATCTGTACCATAGACTGAAAATGTCTTCAGAGGGAGATTTCTGCCTCCTTCATCCACAGATCTGAGCAGAAAGGACATCCTTAATATCCCCTCCAAAACCTGCTAAAAGAAATGCTCATGAGAGAAACTGATGCCGCCCCATCCTTGGGTCTATATCCCTTATCAATTTAGATGATGAGAACATAAGCAGCGGTAACTATTATTAAACCAGACAGAGGATCAGTCCTAGCCTACCTCAGTGTATCAGTTTCTTCATACCCAGCATGGAATTTTTCCCACCCATTCTCCCCTGAAACAGCGGAAATCAACAGAGGAACTGATTTATAGAGGTGGAAAATAAATATCCTCACATCTCAGAAAGTCGGTTAGAAAGAACATGCCTTTCAATTTTTTATTCAATAAAATGTACGAAGTAATAAATTCTCTAACAGGAAGAGGTGATACAACAGAGTCATTACAAAGATGGCTGAGCTTTCCAATGGCCTCATGAGCTTCAAAGCAACTGCCTTGTCATTGTTGAGTGGAAACAGAACATGGACACAAAACACAGATCTACTTGGTTCCCCCATATCCACCTCCCACTACCCTGCCCCACCACCTTCTGTACCCACCCTGCCCCAATACTAACGCTTTTGTTGATTCTCCTCAAGTAACCTGACTAAATAGCTTGTTCATGTCCTTAGTTTCCTGCCTTCGTCAAGTCCCCTTCTTACAATGTGTCATCACACAAGCACCCACCAATGTACAGTTACATACTCTTAACTTAGTCACCTGTCAGATTTGCATGCATGTTAAAAAAATGGGGGGGGGGAATATTAAGGCTATGAATAAACAAAAAAGAAAACCCGCAATATTTTTTAAAGCTAGGTAGCAAGTAGCATTTATGAAACATAAGGCTTGAGGCTTATTGATTCTTTAAAATCTAAACCTTCTCCACTGCTCTTTCATTTTTAAATATCAAGGTACCATTGCTTAGTTTTCTCAAATAATGGTTTCCCCTTTCCCTCCCTGATTACTGGATGCTTAACTCAGAGATGTTATATTGGAACGACCTCCTGGGGGCGCTACTATGCGCTTGCTTGCTGAGCGGATGCCTTCATCGATCTGAGTACCTGCAAGGGATGCGGAAGATAAAAGATAACAAAAAGTGGGACAAGGAAGCCAGATTTTTTTTTTTGCACAGGGTTATGAAGTCATGACTATTCAAAATTTACTTAAATTCCTCTGAAGACACAGGGCTCCTTCTCCCTCCCATCCAGGATAGGCTATTCACAACTGAAGGCAGAACACAGATTTGTTTAGGCAGAGATACTGCTGGCTAACTCCGATTCTCACTACACAAGGAAAACCAACAATATATCACAGAACAAACAAACCCGTTCTGCAGTAATTCTGTCAGCTGCATCTGTGTGGCTTGTCTCTTCTGCTATTTAGTGTCACTGACTGACCAAACAAATGGAAACAAATACTTAAGGAATGTAACCTTCCAGTGCCCTTACTATGAAAACATTGGAACACAGGATGTATGTTCCACTCTCCTCACATAGAACAGCACAGGTCCCAGGCAGTCAGGTGCAGTGCCAGTGATTTTGTGGTACTCTGGGAACTTTTACTGAACACCAGTGGCCTTTCTGCATTGCTGCCCTCAGTACACTCTCTTCTAGCACTCACCTGATAAGCTAAATCCAGACTGGTGAAGATTCCTTACTGGGGGTGTCTGCCTAGTAGGTGATCCTCGAGTAGAGCCTGCAGGTGTGCCCCCTTTAGGTGTTGTTGTCAAGTCAAACACAGGCCCATCATACATGCCCCTTGGCACGGCATGCATTTCAGCCATCTGTCAGAAGCAAGAGAGGAAAGCAGCCTTAATAGCAGTAATACATTGGCTTCCGTTACAAGTGGCAGCAACTTCTTCACTTTCATAGGTTAGAAACCTACTACAGATTTCTGCCCAGATAGCACCAATAGCATAACCTTCAGCGGCAAATTGCTGCAAGTTAAGAAATCAGAGCAGGCTTTTCCTAGGATAAATCACACTGGCCATGTGACCACGGAAAGATTGTCTTCGGACAAACGCTGGCTCTATGGCTTGAAGAGTGGGATGAGCGCCGCCCCCTAGAGTCGGACACGATTGGACAAAAAATTGTCAAGGGGAACCTTTACCTTACTAGCACCAATAGCATAGCCTTCAGCAGCAAATTGCTGTAAGTTAAGAAATCAGAGCAGGCTTTTCCTATTGCACTCGGAGTCATGATTGGTGTGTGTTAAGAATGCCTACACCATCTCCTTAACTTGTAGCAATTCGCTGCTGAAAGATACATCAGCAGGTGCAACAAAAAAGAAGGCATTATATAGACATCAGTCACCTACTATGGTAGACACCTGCTACCCAATAAGACAATGTAAGGAACTAAATATGGAAAAACTATTTGAAGAAAAGACACAAAGTCAGCTGTGCGTGTCTCATCAGTAATACATATACATAAGCATGCCCTTCTCTATGTGTAGAAAGCACAATAATATTGAGTACATTTGTATCTTTTGCAGGCAATGTCTGAGATAGAAGGTTATGTGGCAAAAGGTTATGTTGTTGTACTTCTACCAACATTCTCCTTCCAGAAGATGGGGCATCAATGGCTACTCCCATATGACTCAATGCTTCAAACATAGCTGGCTGGGTTTAGGTACATGGCTTCAGACCCAGAGGTTGGGGGTTCAATTCCCCACAGTGCCTCCTGTGAATAAAGCCAACTATACTGCTTTGGGCAAGCTGCAGGAGAAGGCAATATGAGTTGATGCTGAAAGAAAGGTTATCCCCTCTTAAAAACCCTCTCCTTCAAAGACTGCCTCCTCCAATCCAGGCTTCTCTATTTTACCTTCCTCCTTGCTTTGATGCGCTTGTAGACATAGTCTGAGAAAGGGGTGCCAGGAATGAAACGTCCAGTTCCTTGTGTGACATGAAGGTTGCCATCTTCCAGCATGATCTTCCCCTGGCAAATGACAACCAGTGGAGCTCCACGTAGCTCCATTCCTTCAAATATGTTGTATTCAGCAGCCTACAAAACACAGGAAACAACATGAATCAAGCACTTATCCATCTAATTGTTGAGATTTTGATCTCAAAATGTATTAAATATAAATGTTGTATAGTGAAAGTAAAATGGCTGATTTTACCTGAGTCATGTATTCAGGTGTGGGTACCAAGGTTTAAGACTTGATGTTGTACAGCTGCTGTACATGATGCAATCTTATGTAAGTAGAAAATGAAGTAATGTATTTTCTGATTGGTCCCACAACTGTACCTAAGACATGTGTAAATGGGACATTTTATCTGCTGTAAGTCAGATCACTTATTTCTATGCTATGTGTTATGTCATGTCATGTCATCCTGCCAGATGAATGAATGTCTATGCTCTGCATATATGTAAATAGACTAAGTTGAATTTTACTCTCTCAGTTATAGTGTTTTTGCAACCTGATATCTCCTAACTCTGCTTATATCCTGAGAACACATATTAAACCAAATTCTCAACACTAATGAAGTACCCAGTCTTCAGATACAAATGCTGAAAACAGATTTAAATAGGTTTAAGTGGTGTGACAAGGCATGAGGTATGAACTTTGCTGTCAGCATCAGGAAACTGCATGGCTTTTAAATAATATGAAAGTCCAGACTTTTGAAAAAACATGTACAGAGAGGCACTTTTGAATTAAAGGACTGAAAACACAGTTTCAGGTCTTTTTGCCAACAAGCAATGACTGCTTTGATTCCACAGTCTAATGACAGCAATGACTGCTTTGATTCCACAGTCTAAGCAAATATGAACAAATACAAACACTATAGAAATACAAATTTAAAAAACTGTAGTATTTGACTGACCTCAAGTTCACATTGGCAGAGGTCAGTTCACTATCTGTAGCCCATTAAGCAGCTATCTTCAATGTTTGAAACCATTATCTCATTTCTCCTTGCCCAGAAAAAGACTTACTGACTGGTGGCTTTTAGCAGAGACAATTTTCACTGCATCAGGATCCCATATGACCAGGTCGCTGTCTGACCCCACAGCAATTCTCCCCTTCCTCGGGTACATGTTGAAGATCTTGGCAGCATTGGTGCTACTTACAGCTACAAACTGGTTTTCATCCATTTTGCCTGTAGCCTGTTAAGTATAAACCATGCACAGGAAGGTAAGGGAATGGCACCTAAACCATACTGTGACACACACCAACATTTCAAGCAACTCTCTTCAAATTTCTCTTCTGGTCCTGGGCAAAATATCTTCTTTTCACTCTAAAAATGTAGGCAAATAATATATAGCCAATTATGTTGAAACATGAAAAAGGCTAGGCCCCTTTCAATTCTGTATGGATAGTATTCGTTGCCAATTAGACACCTGACAATCACCTATTTCCAAGACAATAATAAAGCTGAAACTAATTTATTGTGTATTTTATTTAAAATATTTATACCCCACCTTTTTCCTTAAAAGGAAATGATGTGGGATACATCATTAAGAGATAGTATTTAAAAGGTAAAAACAGTACATATACACATAGTAAATCAGAATTAAATAACTATTATATCAAAAATGGTAAATGGAATCAATACTACAAACACATTTAAAAGTAACAGAGAGTAACAATCCATTTTAAAAAACCCTCCCAGATCGCTAGTCACTAAGCAAAAGCCTGCATGAACAGGATGGTATTTGCTTGCCTGTAGAAAGAGAGCAAATATGGGGCCAGCCTAGCTTCCCATGAGAGGAGAGTTCCACAGTCTGCATTCAAAGACAAAGAAAGCCTGCTCCTACGTCCCTACCAAGCACCACTGTGAGGATGGTGGGACCAAGAGAAAAGCCTCCCATGAGCATCTTAATTCCCAGACAGGCTTACAGATGGAGATGCTGTCTTTGAGATAGCTTGGACCCAAGCCATTTAGGGCTTTATAGATTAAACCAGAACTCTGAATTGTACCTATCCAGTGTGTTGTGGCTGAAGTCTCTTGCACAGCCATCTATATATTATATCCTATACATATGCAGCCCTATTCAATCATTTAACTCTCCTTCTCCCCATTCCTACTTCTCCAAGGTATGGGCTATTTTTTTTTTTTTGGCTGAACTTGATTTCAAGACAGGGGACCAAGCAGAGGCAGTCATGGTCTGATTCCAGCCCACAGGCCAGACACTTTTCATACCTGCAGGCAAGGGAAACCTAAGGCATAGGCTAATGTTTCAATTCACTAGGCTTGAACAGAATATTACAGGTGGGAGTGAAGAGAGAAGGAATGAAAAATGCAGGCTAATAGTGACTTGCGGTGCCTTAAATACAATGCTTTGTTAAATTCTCATTTCCAACAGGTAAATAGCATAGTAAATTCAGAAATGAACCATCCTTTCCCAAATTCTGAACATTCTCAGTACATTAGAAGGAGGAGCCTCATCATAGGAACAGCTACATCATTCCCTCAACCCACCCTGCTCCCCATCCTCTTTCCTTACCACTGCCTTGTCCCAGATAACTGACATCCGTTCCTCAATCCCATTAGTTCCTTCTGGGATGGCAGTGAAGTTGTCTTTCCCAATTGCTTTCTGCGCTGTACTGAATGTACAATGTGCACTTCCTGAGACTTGCAGGTCCCCACTTGGAGGTGCAGGGAGAAACAAAACAAAACAAAAAATAAAATATTAGCCAGCCATGTTCTTCATCAATTCATACAAACTATGATAAAAAGGAGCAATAGCAGAAATAGAGGACAACCCTAACTAAAATTAGAACAAAATCTTACGAAATGTTTTTAAAAAGCAGATACATTGTTCTGCTGGATACAAAACTAGCACAGAGGGAATTCTGACAATCACTTTGTTTCCCTGTCTCTGCGTTGCTGGGATTACTCATGTAAATAATAAGACAGGAATGACAGAATGAAAAGCCTCACTGAAGACAGCTATAACTTAGAAGTTTAATTAGATTCTACTGTTCCCAGTGCCTTATATTCCCTCTCCACTAAACAAAAGGGTCATATATTCTTTATCACAGGCTAACATGCTACAACCAGTTCATCTAGTCTACTCACATAACCCCTACACTGTAAAGCCACTCTATTATATGAAAACAAAACAGGGAACTGCATACATTTCATGAGGAAAGGCCTATGATGATGCAGCTGTTTGCTGGTCCCATGCTACACTGCTCATGTAAGAATGTGCCTATGCACAGAATTTTTAAAATCAAAATGCATCACTGAAATTTGCTTGCAATGTCAAGTTAAGGGACTAGAGCCACAAGACAATGGCAAACAACGAGATCTTCCCTGCCCATATGCATAAGCACACTATGGTAAAGAAACCTGTTTTGACTGGCTGCTTCTAACAGCCTCTTCACTACATGTGGTTTGTTTCCTTGAAGAAGGCCATACTAGACAAGGAAAAACGTTCACAATGGCAAGAATGATTTATTTTTCTTGCCTTTAGCTAAACCCAGATACACGTCTGGGAAAGTAATCAAATTCAAAATATATAGCATTTTTTCCTAATTGGCATATCTATGCCACAATAAAGGACAGGATGAAAACATCACAATTATCTTGACTTACATAATCTAAAAATTATTTTAAACAGTACATTAAGCAAGAATCCTCCTTCATTTATAAAGCCAAAGATAGCCATGCTGGTCCATGAGATCAAAGCAATACAAGGACATTGCCCACATGTGGATTTTGGACTTCATTCAATTTCAATTTCACTTAAAATCTCTTTCAAAGTTTGTGTAATACCTAGAAATTGAGCCACCTGCTTTGGCCTGTCATACTTGTACGATTCTGACACTAGAGGGCAGCAACAAGCAGCAGTAAAGACCTACAGTATCTCTCATATCAAGGATTATGCAGAGTTCCATGAGTAGAAACTTCCTACTTCCTGGCTTCCGCTAGCTGCCAAGAGACTCTCAGTTGAAAGGATGCATGGTAATTGAACAAGAAAAGGGAAAATCCTTAAAGCCATGTCTAAACACTAAGAAGGGAAACTAGAAATATCTTTTGGCTTCCAGATGGACTCTGCATCTGATTTTTCTGATTCAAAGAGACTCATGGCCTCAGTCTGGACCTCTGAACCAAAGTCCTAATCCAGTGATAATCTCTATCTCCTCTTAATAATTTGGAGCCATATGTCTGCTTTTCTGCAGAAGGAGATTTGTGTCAGTTAGATTTGTTCTACTAGAATCAACACAAGCAGTCAGGAGGAGGAACTGCCATCATGCAAGCCTCCAGAGAACTGAACCCAAGTGTACACAGAGCTTAAGAGAAGCAGGTGTGGTTCCTTTTCTTTGTAGCCAAGTATGGGGCTGTAGCTGTCAAGGAAGCACAGAATTCATATATTCCACAAGGGAAATATAACAATGGCCTAAGATTTAAAATTCAATTCCAGTAACTATATTATTTGTGAGATCTCCATGCTAGTCTGTTCCAATCCAACACACATTTTCTCTTCCAGTCTCCAGTCAACACACACTAGACATCTAAGATTAAGGAACTGATTCAGCCACTATCTATATACAGAATTATATTTCTAGTTAATAGGGCCCCACTAATCCGATTGAAAATCAACTAAATATCCCTCAGAGATAACTGATTCCACTTGCTTGGTTTTCTTTATACAGTCGTGCCCCGCTTAACGATTACCCCGCATTATGACAAATCCGCTTCATGACGATGTTTTTGTGATCGCATTTGCAATCGCAAAACAATGTTTTAAATGGGGGAATTTCGCTGCGCAATGATCGGTTCCCTGTTTTGGGAACCGATTCTTCGCATTACGACAATCAAAACAGCTGATCGTCGGGTTTTTTTAGCCGCCTAGAGTAGTCCTCCGCGACTAGATAGGTGGGATATAAATAAAATAAAATAAATAAATAAATAAAATTTCAAAATGGCTACCGGGTGCTCAAAATGGCTCCCCGCTGTGCTTAGGGATGGATTCCTCGCTATACAGACAGCGAAAATGGCCACCGTATGGAGGATCTTCGCTGGACTGTGAGTTTTTAGCCCACTGGAACGCATTAACCGGGTTTTAATGCGTTTAAATGGGTTTTTTATTTTCGCTTTACGATGTTTTCATTCTACAGCGATTTCGCTGGAATGAATTAATGTCGTTAAGTGAGGCACCACTGTATACCATTCCTGAGCAAATATTACTCCTTTTTCAACACTGCTATTATCCTTGAAACCTGACCAAGTTACAACTCCATATGTCACAAAAACGAAGCCCAGCACCCTCCAAATGACCAAGGTCATGTATATAGAGCAAGATGGGCAATATATGATCCACAGACCACATGTGAGACCAAAGCCCATTTCTTCGTCCTTAAACTCCCTAATCCAAGTCTGTTTTTCCATTTGAAAAGGAAAATTGTGCTTTTACAAGCATCCATAAGTGGCAATACTCCTTGAGCATACAACATGTATGCACACTGCTGCCATTTTGGGGGCACAATAGGTTAAAAAAAAGAACAAAAAACCAAACCAAAACAAACAACAACAACAACAACAACAAAACGTCCCTGAAGCATCCACTGGGGCTGGCTGAAATTATGGAAGCTGGACACAAAGGAAACCAATGTGGACTACACTATGTCATGATGGTCTGTTCCAATCTGCTCCTAATCTCATTAGGTCTAAGGACATTATTTGGAGATTATGCCAATAATCAGTTACTTAAACATATAAATGGCCTGCCCATGCCACACCGCAAGAGCAACACGTTATGAATGAAATCCTGTAACAATGGTTTTGAATGGCAGGCTTTCCCTTTCCTGTAACTACCAACCTGGCCAGTAAGGAGTTGATGTAATCAGGGGTTGTTGGATCTGGACTCAGAGGGGGGGAAGTCACAAATGCAGCTGCCTTTGCCCAGTTTTTGCTCCAATAGTGTGTTCCATCTGTTCCAAGACTAGCTGTAATTGGCTCACCAAACACTACATTACCTGGTGGCGGTGAAGAAAAACGTAATACAAGTTATGGTCAAGAATAATACAGAAAACAGGAGTTTGAAAGAGGAATTTGGTATGTGGTAGCTTTGCGTGGGAACAGCTACATATTTATAACATGTCGTCCAGTTCTGTTAACCTTGAATATAGTAGATAGTTAATTAAAGCTGGCTGAAAAAATGCAGATCACCTGAAGTCATGGGCCTTTTGTATTTCTTGGACTTCAGTGGGAACTCCCTCAGGGACTTTAGTCAAGAAATCAAAATCCTCACAGGAGTTTTCAGTTATTCACAGGTGGGGAAAGAGGTTTCTGTCAGCCATTGCATCCCTTTGAAGAAAACAGAGGAAATGGATGGGAGCAGCTAAACTTTGTGGAAGCCACAAGGGATTAGGGGACCAGCAGTCTCTTTGATAACTAGGCTGGGCACAAGGTGCCTCCCAAAAAAATCTGCAAGTCTACTAATACCTTGCAGCTCCCATACAATTTAGACACTCCCACTCATTTCCTCCGTCTCCCCTGCTGGAAGACATAATGGTTGAAGAAGCCTTCATTCCCCACCTATGAGTAATTCTGTCTGAGGGAAATCCTGGTGAATTCTGGAGGTTGAATTCCAAGAATACAAAAGTCCCAGGCCTAATAATTAAATTGGATTGTAGACTGCTTCTAGGCAAAAATCAGATGAGTACTAAAGCTCTAAGCAAGCTGGAAGACAGCCTACCTATTTAAAAATGTCTCTCAATGTAACTAGCAGCTGAACTGGGACAAATAACTACTGTTAAAACTGCCATTAACTAGCCCAAGGTCACTAAATGAACTTCATAACCATGCCACAGATTAACCTATCCTCACAGGGCTTCTTGTGAAGAGAGAACTGAGTGAAATAAGGCTAGAGTATGTATAAATGCATTGAATAAAAAAATTGCAGTATCCCCAAAGATGGGGGGGGGACCTTTCTGCTTAGGCAGCAGCATCTTGTAAAACAAAACCTGCTTTAATAGCATTACTTACACAAGATCTACTGAACAGTGGCACCCTTGTTGTGGAATTCATTTCCCACAAGACTTAGGCCTTGGAGGTTATCAAGAAAATTACAGAAACTTTTGTTTAGACAGACCTTGGCTACTTTTAATAATATTTGTTTGGGCTTTACACACGTTGGTGGCCTTTGTTCTTCCAGGTGTTTTAATAAACCATTCTGCAATCGAGCTGTGGGGATACATGGAGAGGTATAATTTTTAAAAGGAAAATATGAATTTGGAAAGGCAAAGTCACTGAAAGACAATTCACTGATACAAGCAGCAGATACAGGAACAAAGCAAACCCTTTGAGCCAGATAACACCTGTGGGGAGGAATCTAAAGATACCCACCTTTTTTCCTGGCTTGTGAAATTAGGTCAGCTGCACTCTTGCTCATTACTTTGGTCACATACAAGGGGCAGTTGGTCTGGCCGGCAATGGTGATAGCACGGAAGACAGCTTCTGCTTCCAACTGGAAACAGAAGGTGAACTATGAATTCACTAAAGATCAGAGAGGATCAGTAATCTCACACGACATAATTAATTTCATCATGGTATGTGACCTTTCACAGTGGAATCATTAAAAGAAAATCAAACCTGTAAATAGCAGAAGCATTACAACATAAAATATTCACCTGCCAAACATGTTCCAATTTTATCTAACGCAACCACAGCTTTATACTTCACAAGTTTGCCTTCCACAGCTGTCTGTATCCATACATACACCCCTGCATGCCCAACATTCACCATCATTCATGCATTTTGCAACAGAAAAGGTAGTCCATATGATGTGCTGCAGGAGCTTTGGGGGCTTTAAAAGGTGAAAGCCAACACCTCCTGTTACGTGAGATATTATTTCTGAACTAAGCTGCTGCATTCACTCTTAATGTGCTAGAGGGCCAGCTGGTGAGTTAAAGCAGTGTTTGGCTAGACAGAGAGGACAAGTTCTATACAGACATTTAGCTGTAAAAAAGGAGTGACGAATGAAGAGGGAGACTGCTTAGGTTAGAGATGGTCATTAGACAAGCAGCTGAAGAAGTGGAATTCACTAAGTTAATGAGGATGGCAATTTTTAGGCGTGGGATTTTTGGATTTTTTTGAACTGAACTATCACAATTCACCAAGAATTCCCCCAGTCAGAATTCTAACACCTATTACCAAAAACTCCAAATCCTCAGTGGAGTTTCAGGACACATGTTTCAGAGAAGTTTCTCTGCAGAGAAGGGCATGCTGGGCTTCAGGTGTGTGTGTTGAAACTCCTCTGAGACTTGGATTTTTTCACTACAGACACTAGAATTCTGGCTGGGGTAATTACTGTGAACGGAGGTAGCTACAGTGGAAAAAAAATTCCAGATTTCCATGCCTTGACTTTTTATATATCATAACCTTTGCTGTTCTAACAGCAGTGGTATGCATCTCTACAATAAGCAAAAGCCCTCAATTCCCATTTTTATATGCAGATCAAAGAGAAGCTGTTTGGTAGCATTTCTCATCTGGATGGGTGGGTGACATCTAGAGAAACAATATATAGACTTGGTTTCTCCAGTACAGTGGAACCTCTACTTACGAACTTAATCCATCCCAGAAGATGTTCGTTAGTTGAAATGTTCGTACGTAGAAGCAAAATTCCCATAGGAATGCACTGAAAAACGATTAATCCATTCCGGCCAAAGAAAAAAAATACCCAAAAAAATGAAAATAAACAGAGCAAGTCCCACACTGGGACTGGGAAAAAACCAAACAAAAAACAAAGAAATCCAAAAATAAACATTGGAAGAAAAATCACCAAAAACAACACAGAAACATAACCCCCCCAGCCCAAGCCTACCCTCCAAACCCCATCCAGAACACTATTTTTAAAAGGAAAAAGCAGCACCTTACTGGTCCAAAGTCTCCCGCCCTTTTCCCCTGCCTTTTTCCATTCGTACGTTGAAGCTCCGTTCACAAGTTCAAGCAAAATTTTGCGAACAGAGCTGTTCGTAAGTTGAAATGTTCATAGGCAGGGACATTCATAAGTAGAGGTTCCACAGTACTCTCAACATTGAATGTAGTGAATGAATGTAGTACTGATCTCAAAATATGAAATAAATTAAAAATGCCAAAGAACCAAATGCTGCAGATCCACAAGATTTTCTGACTAACAAATCTGTTTTTACTGAGCACTCAGTACATGTATTTCAAACCAGTCCTTTGGTTTACTGACTACTCTGTTTATTTTTTTTTAAAATTTGGTTATCACCCCAGCCTAAATATAAGTGCCTTTTAGAAATCTAGTAATATACTACATCGGTTGAAATCTGGTAGAAAGTCTCAACTAGAATAGGACCATGGAATCAGTGGGGATCTGGTAAAGCAATTCCTCTGTATGTTCCGTTGATTCAATGGCCTACGCTATTTGTGACTCACCAGTGGATTTTAGCCATTACTTCTCACTTCAACAAAAGCTATTACTCACAACGAAATGGACAGAGGCACCCTCAAACATTACTCTTACTAGACAAAAACTACAGAACATCTCTTTCCCTCTTTTTCTGTTTCATACACCTGCACATTCTCAACTTTCAGAAACACTGATTGAAATCAGTTTGTGAACCAAAGCTGTAGTTAATTCACTGATTAAAGAATGTAGCCCTCATCTGTTCTGTAACTTGACTATAGCTGTGTTGGAGAGGAACTGACTTACAGCTGGTCATTTGCTCAGTTCACATTACTGTCTCGATTAGTAGAGCTTTCCTCCTCCCTAGGATCCTGTAGACCATTTTTGCCTCCCATGACATCAGGGGCCTGTAATGTTTGTATCTTGCTTGCAGTTAGAAATTTCAACACTCGGTCAAGCGAGATATCTTTGGAGCATTACATCATACACTGTTCAGCTTGACATCATCCCAAAATGCTTTCTGACTGCCAGGTGTTGACTAGAAGAAGTTCAACACTGACATTTTAAAGAAGGAAAGGAGAAATAAGTTCTCAAGAGACTGTCCTAAAACTGTATAGATAAAACTTAGCTCAGGCACTGCCATACACAGAACATATATTTTCTTCTAAATGCATTATAGAAGAATATGAATACAGACTATTAGGCCATCTTCCTTAACACCAACTAATCAATTCCAATACAATGGAGACAAATAAAATTTAATCTGATATTGCTATAAAGGTACATGTAAAAATAGATTTATTTTGTAGAGAGCTTTGTGGTGCAGCGGTTAAACTACAGAACTGCATGCAGTCAAGCCTCTGCTCATGACCAGAGTTTGATTCTGATGGGCTCAGGTAGCCAGCTGAAAGTTGACACAATCTTCCATTCTTCTGAGACTTAATTTAGCTTGTGAAGGCGGAGGCACGACTGGGCAGAGGCACAATGTGCAGCCTGCATAATTAAACTGTAAATCGCCTAGCGAGTGATTTAACTGCTATGTGGTGCAACATAAGCAGAACACTTCATTTTTTCATGTCCACCATGAAAATGAATATATTGGGATGTGATACGACCAAATCAGCGCAAACATGTTTAAAAGCATGAGAAAATTCAAAGATGCATTCCGTCCAAGGCAGCATGAATATATCTCCAAGACCTGGTGTTGAGAAGTACAATAAGAAAATCATAAGCAGGACATTCTTGTTATATTTAGTTTACAATCTTATTTTTGTTGTGAGCCTCTCTGAACATATTTTATTATTATTTTTAATCTTAACCTCTTATTTACTGGCTGAAATTCTACTGCTTGGTCATAACTAGAATAGGCCCACTAAATCAGTGGGGATAGTTGTGGTTTCCATATAAGCAACACGATTACAGTCACTGTTTATATTCATGTAGATGTTACCTCAGATAGTTTGACGAGTTGTATTTTACATTTTCAGTGTTTATGCATAAGGTCTGAGTGACTACTGAGCGATGAAAAGATGAAATACTGTATATTTTTTTGAAAAATAGAAGAGCATAGCAGCTTCTCCTTTAATTTAAAGGAGGGAAACTATACCAAGCAATTTCACATATGAATTTTACTACAGCCAATTGGGATAACTAAGTGGAGTGTGCTACAGCTGCACTGGATGTTTATTCCTAAATATGCACACAGAGAGATGCCTACACAGAGCATTAGAGAAGAAAGGGGGCTGGAGTGGCACCGATGTTGTGCATTATTTCTAAGGCTGTGCAATAAGATGTTTGACTCTGGGGACCACACTATGAGCAGTCAGGCAGGCATTAAAATGATGAATGCCTTGTAAGCCAGGCCTTGTCTTGTACTCTTGAAGAAATAAAGATCTGCACATGCACTTCTTTCACATATGCTATGAAAAAATATGAAATTAAGAGGCGCACCATGAAGAAACTCCACCATTACTCTTCATTTATTACACAATGACACAGGTTTAGACATCTCTGGCTTATGAAGCAATTTTTGCCCCAGAACTGTAGACTGATGTTTTGTGCAACATTCCTGATTGCCACAATAAGTACATTTGCTATATGGCTACAAGTATTCAGCACTGTCCAAGGTCCAAGAACCATGCTACACATATTGTAAGCATTTGTACCAGAGAAGTCATGTGTGGTTTACACATGATCCCACCCATTCCTCAGTTCTATATTATGAGCTGTTCATAACATTCAGAAACACTGAATCAGCGACAGGACCACACAGGCATGAAACAGCTGTCTCAGACATCAAATTATACACGTTTAAGATTTTTTCTCCTTTCTCTCTTGAATACGCAAAGCCAACTATAAAAAAATATAGCAAGACAAAATTGTGTAAAATTGTACTAAGATGACTAGAACCAAATGTCTTCCAAAACCAATGGCAGAAGCAAGTTAGCATTTAACATACACCAACCTTCCTATTTAAAGACAATTATAGTAATGAAAGTATTATACAGAAATGGTGATTCTTACAATTTCTGGCCCTTGTGGGTACAGAATTCTGTAGCTTAGCAATAAGTAGTGCTTTCCTTTTGCTGATGAAAAACCACAATGACCAGAATTGCCTATAGCACTGGAGTACAAAAGGACTACAGCAAAATAGTGATTGTAAAATTAAATTAAGATGCACCTCGATTAATAGGTTAAACAATAAAAATTCCAGATACTAATATTAGGTAAAACTCAATTGACATCTTAACAGCAATTTATAATTAGGAAACCTTTTATTCCCATGTATGTTTTGTACATCTTAAATTTAAGAAACTATAATCAGAAATTAAGGTTTCTGGACAGTTATTCTACAATGCTGATGCAACAACAGAGTGCTCTTAGTTTAATTCTCATTGCTAGCTTCTCTAAACTAAAATACTTATTTAGGTCTGTGGATTTTTTTCCTGCACCTACAATATATTCATGTTTGCACTAGAAGCTTTTTCTACTTGCTATGAAATACAGTTTTTCATTTGTGTTTGAAAACTTGCGAAAACACTGATAGGAGGCCATTTCGGGTCATCCGGCAGCCATTTTGGAGCTGCCGATCAGGTGTTCGGCGGCTCCAAAATGGCCGCCGGACGCCCCAATCGTCGCAAAGCGAGTGCGGCGATTGGGGCAGATCCGTATAGCGATCCCCAAAAAGGGATCGCTATACGGATTCTTCGTTAAACAGTGCGCTCGTTAAGCGAGGCACCACTGTATTAGGTAAAACTCAATTGACATCTTAACAGCAACTTATAATTAGGAAACCTTTTATTCCCATGTATGTTTTGTACATCTTAAATTTAAGAAACTATAATCAGAAATTAAGGTTTCTGGACAGTTATTCTACAATGCTGATGCAACAACAGAGTGCTCTTAGTCTAATTATTGCTAGCTTCTCTAAACTAAAATACTTATTTAGGTCTGTGGATTTTTTTCCTGCACCTACAATATATTCATGTTTGCACTAGAAGCTTTTTCTACTTGCTATGAAATACAGTTTTACATTTGTGTTTGAAAACTGGAACCATCAGTGATAGCTTACCTCTTCTGGCCTACTCAGCACATGACCCTCTGGGCCAGTTATTCCCATTTCCAGCATCCTTGCTTGCTCCTAAATAATATAAATACAAGTAAATTGAGACTAGGAAGAATAATATTAATGAAGCCCACAATGAGAAAATCTGAATCTGCTTCCTCCTTCCTTTCCTTTCTTTCTTCTTGATGGAAAAAAGCACTAAAATTAAATATAGCACGTAGGTTATCACAGAGAGTGGGACAGATGTGTGAAGAAGACAGGTATGCAGTTATATCACTTAGTAAATGTTACAGTGCTAGGATTGTCAACTGATTAAAAATCATCACCCTGTTAAGCGGCTGGACATAGTATATATAACATTGTGTGGATCATACCAATGGTAATATAACTAAAGTGTCGGAACTAAGAGTTCTAAATGTTTAATAACTGAAGAATTGAGCTGGTGCACCTAAATTGCATATCTGCCTACGATTTTAATTCCCAGATTTGTCTGTTGGCTGTTGTTCTGCCAATTCTTCAGAAGGTAGAACTTGGAAGACAACCTACAATGGAACCTTGTGGTCTTCAACTGGTGAAGATCTCCATTATTAACTCAAATATTTATAATGTCTTCCCTGATGACACTTAAGGACTTACCTGACATAAAAGTCTCAGGAAAAGTCACTGGGATATATAATAAAAAGAACAAAGAACAACAACACAGCTATATTGTGTTGGTTTTAAGACTAAGATGTATTTCAGTATGATTACCAGAGATGGGTATCTCTAGTAACGAGGGTCTGGTACTGTCCATTCACCATTCCGCTGATGTCACGGGCTCCCTTCCTATTGCTCTGGAGCGCCCGGTCGGCCAGTCACTCTTTGACCTGGTAGGGAGGCTCATCATCGCACCTCCTGCCAGGAGTAACTAGTCGACTGTGAGCTCTGGAGCTATAGGAAGGGAGTGTGAAGCTGACAGCAGCAGCAGCAGAAGAGTGAGTGGACAGTTCAGCCCCTGGGGGCCAGACCCTTGTTATGTCCACCTGTGTGGGGGTATTTGTATACAAATATGAATACCCCCATCTCTTATGATGACACAAACATTAGACTAAAATAAATCTGTTGCTTTTTAAAAGGTGCCACAATACTTTGTTTTTGTTACATGTGTTGAAACAGATTTAACATTCTGGAATAAAACTTTATAGTACATTAAATTTGTTTATATCATATCTTTTGACAATGGAAAAGGTAGTGCCTTACCTGTGCAATGATATCTCCATTTTCAGCATGAACCTGAGCTATTGCACCAAGGTCTCCCAAGAAACTAAATATCTCATACAGCTATAAAAGAGGATTTAACAGGAGAAGTGGCATTAGAAAGCAAGTATTTGTCTTCACTTGCTTTAGGCAGCAGCACAAAAATGTTGAGGTTTTTTAAAAAGTATGCTCCAATGAAAGGACTGTCACTTAAAATCAATTAAGCTAGTTAAATGGTTGTTGCAGGTTTTTCAGGCTCTTTAAAACTCCTGTCCTCTGAAGATGCCAGCCACAGAGACTGGAGAAATGTTAAGAAAAAAGCCTCCAGAATACAGCCATACAGCCCGACAAAACTACAACAACCATCAGATCCCAGCCATGCAAGCCTTCGTGAATACATTAAGCTAGTTAAAATTTACATTTCCTAATCACACCTTTGCTTCATTAACAGGTATCTTGAGAGATAGCAAAATATTATAATAACAAAATGATTAAAAACATAGAACGAGTACCAAGGTAAGATTACAGTAATCCACAGCTAATTATATCACATGGATAAATACTGAATTCTAAGGGAATCCTTTAAAAAGCCAACAACCCACTCAAAACTGGTTCTAGCTCAGTTCTTCTCTTCTTGCTCATGAACTGAAGGCTACATCTTGTTTGCTTTACTCAGAATATTTGTCAAGGGCCCTCCATAATAAGACTTAAAGCAACTTACAAAATTGTTAACTGCAATACAATATAGCTACATTATACATTGCAGGAGCTAATATTTCATTTTTTACTGAGGACAGAACAATTCTCACCCTATTTTAAAACTTACCTCCTAAACTATGAGATCCAGAAACTTCCTTACTTAGCATTCAGCTTTAAACAGAGCTTACAAAAGAAAGAAGTCCTTGGGCCTGTAAGTGGCCTGTGAGTTCCCAACTTTATTAAAAAGATTAAGAAAATTAAAGTTTAAAAATAATGGGAGCACATCAGACCCTGCTGCACTCGTTAAGTTCATTTTTCTGAATTAGCTGCATTCTTTCCGGCAACAAGATGCTGGCTGTCCAAAAGCCACTCCTTTTTCCTTAGCTTATTCGGTTCAGTAATGTTAAGTCACTGCTACCTGTTAAACCTTTCTCCTACGACTGATTAGACATGCATAACTCTATTAACACTTATTCACTCTTTCACTGAATGTTCTTCCTAAAGGTCAGTACCAACTATTTAGTAGTGTAAAGAATAGACTTGAAATACGCAAGCATGTCTCTGCCCTGCTCTATATTTCAAATGGATTGTGCTGTGTAAAACCAGCAACCAACCAAGATTCAATCAAATCACGTCATCCCAGGTTTGCAGTTCCTAGGTTAACACAAAAGCATCAATCAGAACCTTCTCGTAGGCTGAGACCCCAGGGTCATCCAAAGCAGAATTCCGTCTCTGACATGAATCAGCCAGGTTCCTTCCAGAGCATCCTTCTTTATTTGTATTCAAGTGTCACACATTTTTAAATTATAGACATATATAAAATAGAGATAAAATTAAAAACAAATTAAAATGTCAAGATAATTTAACTGCTTTAACCAGAAGCAAGCTACTTCAACAGCCTTATCTCGGCCATTTGCCAGATCTTTTTCTGTACATGTGGTGGGGCATAAGCCACATGAATACAAGTGCTGCATTGATTGAATTTCTCCACAGTCACAGAAAAGTTGTCTTGTATCCTAGTACTTGATTATTCTTTAATCTTCCTCATTTGCTTTGAAGTCTATTAAGTGAATTTCAGATGGTTGAGAGTATAATCAGAGCAGATTCTCTTCCACATTCCCAGCATTTGACCCTCAGGGATATTGCCTCTGAGCATGGAAGCTTCATTAACTATCATCATCACCAGCCATTAATATAGCTGTTACAAATAAACTATATCTGTAAGTTAAACTGTGAAACATGAAGCTATATTTCACTATGGTCTTACTCTCATTAAGACCATGTCTGCTCTGTCATTCAGCAACAACACCCCCACCCCTGTAGTGTCAAAGGTGGCTTATAATCACTAATTGAAAGAAGATATTCTTTCATATTAATTACTAATATTAATCAGAAATTAATCCTCCTTAAGAAAAAACACACATACAAGAAAACAACATAGTACAGTTCTTACCTCTGTATTTGACATCTGGTACAAATCCTTATAGGCCATGTAAACCATAAAAGAGTTAACTCCTAGGAAATGGAAGATTAAATTAGAAAAGAAGTTGGCAAGGAAAAAATAAGGTTTTGTTCTACAATTCATTTCAATCTAGATCAGTAAGTCCACGAGTCTTATGAGAAATTACACACACATCATGGAATGGGAATCTTTGGCAAGAACTAGAAGCAAAGGAAATTTTTCTGTTTATTGTTCTATTAAGCTGTCTCTTTGGAACTGCAATTACCAAGCCAAAGCAAGAGTAGACAATCTTCTCCCAGCTATGCAGAACAGGGGGCGACGGTGATGGGAAGTGCTTGAGCGCAGCACATTATGTGACTACTGCTGCTCTGGTACCCAAATCTGTATTATGATTTACCATTACATGAAAGCTAATTCACATTGAATCCACTAGGCCAGTTTACAAGACAGATCAGTTAAGCAGCAGAATTAAATTAATAATGAAGAAAAGAATAATTAAAAATAAACGATAATAAAGATGCATTAGCTTTGGTGGTCACCCTGTATATACTGTTTATGAGAACCTGGTAAGGAAAAGTTAACCAATAAATGCATTTCTAACATTAAACAAGACGAACTTTATAAATTGTTTCCTACACTTTGAGATCAATATAACATTGCCCTTATTCTTCCAAAGCACGCATCTAAGTTCATTGAACCTATCCACTTTGAGCTGGAGATATGTCTTACAGGAATGGGATGCAAAATTATTGTTTTTAGTAAACAATGGAAACATACAGAATAAAAACTTTGCTCTCATGAACAGAAGAGAATCTCTGAAAAAAAACTGGCCCCATTTCATTCTATGCAAATACTGGGAGTAGAGCAATGGTTACAAAAGAAATAATATAATAAATGAATAAAGAAACAGATATAATATATTATATGGAGGTCATATATTATATGGCCTCCTCAGCCACACTAGACGCTGTTTATAATAGCATAGCATAGCATACATGTACAGAATCCTCTCTCATACAACTGGAGGGCATGCAAAATGGAAATAAAATGGTCACCTTGGTATGTAAAAATACACATACAGTATATTTTGATGACGGATTTCAGAGTCACTAGGAAAATGTTGATTTGAGTAAGTAAATCTCAGTGTGCAGATCCTCTAAAATTTAGCATCATGTAATTAGGTCAGGGAAGAAATGGGGTTGGTTTTTGCTCTCATACAACTGGAGGGCATGCAAAATGGAAATAAAATGGTCACCTTGGTATGTAAAAATACACATACAGTATATTTTGATGACGGATTTCAGAGTCACTAGGAAAATGTTGATTTGAGTAAGTAAATCTCAGTGTGCAGATCCTCTAAAATTTAGCATCATGTAATTAGGTCAGGGAAGAAATGGGGTTGGTTTTTGCTACTGACAAACCTTTTTCTTTTATGAGTGTCTGCACTTCCTGTTTGACACTGTCATTCCAGTGGGTGATGTCCACATGCAGTGAGTAGTCACAACAAGCCTTCCCATCGCCCCACTCTCGCCATTTCTCATAGGCTTCTATCAGGCTGGCCTCTGGCTCAGGTACAACATGGTCAACTGTGGAGGGGGAAAACAACAAATTCTAGCAGAGAATTATGTCCTTCCTGCTTGCCTGGAGAAGATTTCTAGCTAGTATGTGCTTAATAGGACCACCCCCTCATTCCCACTTCTGCTCTCCAACATCTATCAACAAATTTGTAGAACATCTTTCTACAAATGCATGTTCACCCATGCTTCTTTACCTCCCCAAAACAGCTATTTCCCTGGAATTCTACAGAATAATTCAAATATCCAATATGTCTCAAAGAAAATATCACAGAACACCACAGAGACCAACTAACTAAATTCTCATGGCCTGAAACAGTCTTTCACTGGACCATTGTTTTTACTGGATCTATTGCTGAATTTTTGCTTTGACGATATTTTTGTGCCAAAATATAAGAAATATTTAAGTGCAATAATGACAACAAAAGCAAAAGGGAGAAAGAAAGGGCGGAGACAAAATACAAAATGGTTTAGCATTTCAAAATCTAATAAATTTATATCAGCGTGAGCTTTCATAGATCAGAATCCACAGCAGATGTCTTGGACAGGCTAGTTTATGACAAGGAGCTGGAGAAAGATGAAGCAGAAAAGAAATTTTATAATCAGGAGTATTTTAAAACTATGAAGAATGATCTCTGGGTACTAATATTTGTATCTCAGGGGCATCAAATAGACTTTATGATTTCTGTGGGGGCCGTGAACAATGACTGTGTCTCACATCTTACTGCCTGTATTTCCCAGAAATGTCTAGAGTGCATTTACCAAGAGAAACTTGAAAAAAGGCGCTGTACTTTGGATTAATAGCTTCTGGCATCAGACGAGGTGCTTTTAGCAGGCATTTGCTGCGAAGTGAGCCAGAAGCAGCATATCCCAGCATCTCATCTATTTTTAAAAAGCATCTTCTTGAGACACAGCCAATATAACTTTTATTGCCCTGATATAATCCTCAATTCCTGCTACCACATTTTCATGTAATAGATGCTACAATGTGTACTGCAGCTATTTCAACCAACAATGGAAATAAGAGCAGGAAGGAAGCCAATGTTTCTGTCAACTGCATTCATACTTCCAACATTTTTAAATAGTCATGATTCAATAAGGTAGAATAATTGCAGCAAAAAGTAACTGTGAACCAGAGCATACCAGAAGCCCTTCATCTTGTTTACTTAAAAGGCATGCTTGAAAATTATATTCTTCCTCTATGACCCATTTTGACAAAATGCTCTTTTTTAAAAATTATATTTGTATGCATATAATATCATGGGGCACATATTTATGCATTACCCTCACCTGTCCATTAAAAAATTGAAGTTACTAAATGGAATCACATAATATCATAAGGAGCCTAAGCCACGTTTACTGCATAAATATTCATATCTGTACAAAGAAGGTGCTCCAATTTTGGAGGACCAGTTTCTCCCCCAAACAACCTGAACATAGGAGCCATAATACAAAGCTTATCTGACTTCAGATGACCAAAAGCTGCTTGAGACAACTACAAACTTTCTATCATCAAACCATTTTTATACAGGAAATTGGGGGGGGGGGAACCATGCATTTGTCTCATAATGGATACTACAGGCTAGTTTACAGAGAAACATTCTACAGAGAAACATTCAAGTAAGTATCTTTTGCAATAGTAGCAAGTTCACTCTAACCTGCATTCACTACAGTAGGGGTCTCCTACCCCCGGTCCGCTGCTGGTCTGTGGGCTTCCCAGGACTGGGCCACGGAGATGGATCTCCACCCGCCCCCGCACGTATGGCGGGGGGTCGCACTAGCACACATGTATGGGAGGGCGTGTTGTGCTTGTGCATGAGCACAACACACCCATCCATGAACATGACATGCCCACCGTGAGCGCAGGGGTCCCCTGCCCCCTCATGCACAGAGCCCACCACCCCAACTGGTCTGCGGTTCTAAAAAGGTTGGGGACCACCGCACTACAGTCCCACGTACAGTGAACATGTTTTGTAAATATTTAAACACTTGAAGTTAGTATTTCAAATGTAATTAACTGCTATTGTAGTAACAAAGAAAAGTATCGACTTCCACTTACTGATCATGGTGGTCCCACCCGCCAAGGCCGCTTTTGTCCCTTGGAAGAAGTCATCTACTGCTGTCATCCCCTTATAAGGCATCTGCAAGTGAGTGTGAACATCGATTCCTCCAGGGATAACCATCCTTCCATTAGCCTCTATGGTCTTCACACCACCTGGCACTATCAAGTTGTCTCCAATTTGCCTGATGAAATAGTTGTAAACAGTTAAACATACAATGCATTGCAATGCAATGGTAACTCTTAAGTAGAACATCTTCCACAACAGAATTAAAACATCATTAACTATAACTGATCAACGCATCATAACATTTTGTACTGCCTTCTCATGTATTTTTTGCCACCCATAGATTTTATTAAATATATTCCATAACAGATCAAAGGTATTCTAAGGCCAGAATCCCATTGGTTATTTATATTGGCATAAGTGCAACTGCAGAAATTCCAGGGATGAATTGCTACTAATTAGTAGGAATTACTTGCAGTGCAATACAGAATACATGTAGCAATTTGCTGCTGTGTTTTACATTACTGCACTTACACCAGTATAAATAACCAGAAACAGATTCTGACTTATGTATACTTGATTCTATAGACAGTGAGGGTTTGAGAGAGATTCAGCTATGTATTTTAGGATATGTAATAAACACATCTGTTGATCTGCACAATTTCTGCATGAAAACAACAGGAATTTTAAAACTAGTTATCTGAATGCAATACATTGTTTTATAGCAATGCCAAAATCATGGATCTAGTGAAGAAGAGTCTAGAAATCCACATCTACTCAACAGCTATAAAGTGACAGGAATGCAGTGTGACAGATAGTGACTGACAAGAAAGTATTAGCCTTTCTTCGGTTTTCCATGTCACAAGGTAGACTCTGTCTAGAAGGGCGGGGTAGAAATTGAATTAAATAAACAAACAAACAAATAAATAAATAAATAAGGTAAGGCAGTAGGCAAAGAGGTTATGTAGTATCCCTGAATACTGTATCAAACTGCACCCTCCTAGGTTCCAGACAGACTTAAATGATGAGTGTTCAGTGCTTGTTCTCAGATTGTCTAGGAGGAGGTCTCACTCATAGCTTATATTTTAAAATTATTATTCATTTTACTTATATCTGTTAAAATAATCCATACTCCTCCCTTAGTTAAATGCATTCTACCCAACGTCATGAGACACTCAGTGAAGACCTCTCATTTTTAAGAGCTAATATGGTACAGTGATCAGAGCTTGGGAGATCCAGGTTCTAATGCCCAGGAGTTGTAAAACTCAATGGGTGACCTTGGGCTAGTCCCTCTCAATCAGCCTCACAGGTCATTCTCAGTCACAATCAATCAGGCACAGATAGTTTTTATGAGGAAAATGATAGCCATGTAAGCCTTCTGCTACTCACTGGAGAAAAGACAGGATCCAAGTATTAATATTAAATAACAAATTAAATACATAAAAAACAACTGATGTATTTCTTTTACAGCTGTGGAATATTTTACTTGAAAAGAGTGCTCAGTTTTATGGAATGGATTTATATAGTGTTTCATTTTTAAGAATACTTATGTATTTATTGTAAGCCACATAAAATAAATTCCTGGAAAGGTTGCATAAAATTATTTGAGTAATTAATATACATCAACTTTGCCATCACCTGTTCACAGAACTATTTCTTTTTTATTACATCTATATCTCACTGTTTCCCCAAGGACTAAAGTGCTCCCATCCCCCCCCCCATCTTTCTGAGATGGACACAGAAAGAGAATGGCTCAAGAACAGCCAGTAAGCTTCAGCTGAGCAGAGAGATCTGAATCTCCAAAATTCTTATATGAAACTAGACTACATACATTTTAGACCCTTTCAAAACTATTGGCCTCCAACTCAATGCTATGGGGGTAAATTCCCCCAACTTATATGATGAAGTGAAGAAACATTTATCTTTAGTCTATCCTGAAAATACCATAAAATCAACTTTACTGAGTAGCCCTACAATTAGATCCAACATAAATGAGTATATAATACAATAATTTAAAGCCAAATTATTTATATTTTTATAGTCTAGCAAGTTCCCCCCAATCATTTTTCCTAATCTGGAAGTGAATAACTTAAAATGGACATCATGACTGGAGCATGAGTTTCCCACTTCTATTTGTTACCATAAATAGGCTAATTTACATTACCGTACTTTTCTCTTTATAAGATGCCCCCCTTTTCTAACCCCAACATTAAGAAAACTTAACTTTGAGTATTCAGCCTCTGGGCTCGGAACGCTCAGACATTACGAGTTCTGTTGCATCTGAGCCTACAGGCTCCACCTCCAACAAGGTGTGCTCCAATTGGTTTGTTTAGCATCAGCTCCATAAGGCTCGTGATTGGAGGAAGCTAAGTCTCCTGACTGTAGGAAGCTAAGCCTCATGATTGAAGGAAGCCTGTTTACAGAGGCAAGGTACGGGCAGTTTTGTTCTCAGTGTACTTCCATGTATAAGATGTCCCTCAATTTTTAGTGTAATGATTTTAGGAAAAAGTAGTGTCTTATACATGAAAAAATACAGTAATATAAAAGCTTTTCAATGAAGGTTGTATATGTGAACAGTGCCTTTCAAATTAGGATATTTTTAATACCATGGTTTACAAGTAACCATTTCTGAAGAGATGGGAAACAAAGAGAAACTTTCAAACATTCTGAACAGCCTTTCCTCTATATAAAAAATAACCCCAAGTCTTTACCGTCTAAAACTTGTTTACTTTTTGCAAATAATGAAAAGTCCCAGAAATAATGACACAACTACCGAGCTGTCCCTAAGTTCTGCCAAAGTAGAATTCCATACACTTCAAAAAGCTCTCTTACATAAACAAAAGCCTTTCTCTGGGAGTTGACAGAGAGTTCACTGTGCTTTCGGACATCAGCAGACATATGCAGGCAGCGCACAATTTTAAAGAACATCCATTATCCTGCAATAGTACTAGCACTACTATCCTGCTTGAATTTTCTCTTCTCCTGAACAGCAGAACTTTGCTAGATTATGTTCAGTGATAAGGAACAGAATTTTGTAAGTCCCCTGTGATGGCAAAACTTCTTTATTATCTCTATAGATTTATATGGCCTTAGATACATCAAAGCTGGATTCTATCAATGTGTTCCACATTCAGCTACATTTGAAAAACATTCAGACAGTTCATATAATATATTGTAGTTAGCATTCTGGTCAAAACTAGAGATGGGCACAAATTGATAGTATCATTCAGTTCCAAATGGCAGAATGTCCAAAGTCAGACACACAGTCTCATACGTGTAAGGAACACGTATGGTATTATGAAGTACAGTGGTGCCTCGCATAGCTAACGCTTCGCTATGCGATGAAACCGCATAACAAAGGGTCCCAGGCCATCGCTGGAGCGTTCGTTCAGCGATGGCCCCTATGGGCTTTTTTCGCTATGCGATGATCGCGCGGACGCGATCAAAGCATAGCGAACAGCTGATCGGCGGTTCCAAAATGGCCGCTGCTAAAACAAAATGGCGACCGCTGTTTTGCCTCGCTAACGAGGCATCCAAAATGGCCGCCGCAATGGAGGAAACTCGCACAACGGTTTTAAGTCCATAGGAACGTATTAAATCAGTTTTAATACATTCCTATGGGCTTTTTTGTTTCACTTAGCGATGGATTCGCTGAGCGAGGGCTTGACACAATGGACACTACTCATTGAAGAAATTATGAAGTATTGCATTTTGGAATATGCCATGATGCTTCACCTAAAAACAGCTACAAATACTGCATGTACCAAATGGTTTCTTACATCAAAGTTTTCTCATATCAATACCAGTACTTCACAACTGCATACATTTCTCTGGGACATGAGGAGAATGTTTTAAGCACATCTACATGCATATCTGAAAATCTATCTGTATTTTCCAAATATTCTGCAAATAGTATTTTCCAATTGTCTTTTGTGGCAACAAACCATGAGTTAACAAATTGCACTTTCCTATTCCCTTCGCTTAAAAATATATATTTGATTCCCCTACTGCTTTTTTTAAAAGGCATTTACAGCAGAAAAGCCTATCTATTACCCTTAGTACTTTAAGAGCAAAGAACATTTGAAATCTTTGGCTATAAAATATCCCACAGTTCAGCCCTAAATGCACTGAAATGTAATCCTAATTATACATATTTACACACCACAATAATTTCAGTCCTTAACCTAACCACTGGAATATTACCATGATTTCATAAATACAATAAGAAACCAGACAAAATACAAGACATTACAGTTTTTACCTAAAATCTCTCAGAATCCTGAAGACATAACTAAAGGAAAATTTTAACATAGTTAGCAGTAATAAATGTAGCAATCGTGTTTGTGGCTGAGCAGACAAGTCACAAACCAAACATTTGCTCAGCCTTTCTTCTCTTCAGTGAAAGATTTCTCAATTCTTTGACAGCTTAAAGACAGTGACATAGATGAGCGTGTGCTGTGAATTAAATAACTGTAGACTGCTTGAAATGAACAAGCATAAATCCAATATAAGTTGGTACTGAAGAATTCCTGGAATGTCATTTCAATCCACAAGAATACATTTAAACCACTAACAAAACAGGCAATAGGTTACAGAATGATACTTTATAAGCCCTTATAAACCTACTTTATAAGCCCATCCTCCATGTAAATGTCAGCGTGGAAAGACTGGTCATCATTGACTATTCTGCCTCCTTTAATGAGAAGACGATCACTCTGTAAGGGAAAGCAAAGAACCAAATTATGTAATGCTTGCATAATTTGCATGGCTACTTTGTCAGAAATTATGTAAATATTTGTGCTGCTTTTTCTATAATATGTGTATTCAACAGTGGGAATGGAAGGAAATGCACAGTACTAAGACAGCTTGCTGAGTTAAACCAGACCAAAAGGCTTATTCATTTGCACACTTTCCATACATTTGATGTTAAAGAGGACAAATATTTTGGAATGTAGCAACTAATTCATCAGCTGAATAAAATTTAAGGCGCAAATGACATGTAGTAGATAACAACTGTCAATAACTTCTACCTAAAAACAATTAAATTCTACTGTTTTTAAGTAATCATAACTCAGATGTAACTTGACTGCACATAACAAAATCACATCTATCTAAAACAAACCCATTTGTTTAATTTCATCTCAGTACTTCCTGTAATGCTCTTGCTGAATGTTCTTATGAATTCCTTTCTAGAAGCATTCATTGTAGAAGATGCATTAGCATCACCACACCCCATTTTAAAAAAAGAAAGGACTTTGGCATTAGGGACATACCAAATTTTCATTACTGGATCACCACCCAAGGGAAGATCTAAAATACTATACATACTGTATTAACAAATGTAAAAAGAGAGTTGCAAAATGTTGTAAAGATGGGTCCCAGTTCTAAAAACTACTGCAACACTCATCAATGTAACCAAGAGCAAGTGACCAAACGATTCCATAGAGACCATTGCTCCTTGTTTGTCAAAACTATGACAGTTTTCTACCTGCAAAAAACTCTACTTGATAAGTAAATTGTAGGTATTTCAGAGCCCAAGGCCAAATTTAAAATAAAATAAATCGTCCTTTGAGTACTGTATTACAATTTAGCTCAGAACCAGTCAGGCAACAGATACCTCTTTATCTTCCCATTGGCTTACTGATTTATCATTACTGTATTTCTATACACAAAAGAATTCATCAGGCTATGTGCAAGGCAAACCATGAACAGGCAAATAATACAAAGCTTTAACAGTTAGAAACACAACTAAGGTTACAATCCTTTAAACACTCATCCTGTTAACTAAACAGGAATTATATATGTGTAGACTGGTCTAGTACAGCAATATTCCACAGAGACCTTTGGGTAGTGTGGGCGGCCTGGAATTATATCTGTGTAGACTGGTCTAGTACTGCAATATTCCGCCCACAAATACATATACAGAAAAATTGATTTTTTTTACATTCTTGAACAAAAATCCAAATTTCTCAAAAAATCATTGACACTCTTTTCAGAATACTTTATGAGTTGAATACTATATTCATCTGTGAGGGATAACACAACTTTGTATAATTGTGAGAAGAATATACAGTGTCTTACTGAATTGTACACACACATACGTTTTCACTTGCAGAAATCTGAAATTTATTATGGAAGTTATTTTTCTCACTTCAAATTCCTAAAGTGTTCAGCTGAGAATCCAGCTCTGCACTTGCCCCAACCTCAGAACTCAATTTAACTATCTCTTGGTAGCAAAAGCCAGCTTCACTGCTATCTCACTTTGGGAATCAGCTATCTTTCCAAATGAGTATTTCAAAAATCCTGACAAAGCTTTTTAACAACAATGTTCTGTGCTTTTTTTTTTTGTTTTTAGTTTGTTAGTAGTTTAGCATTAATGCTAAATGCTTCCCACCTACACTCTAACCACTAGTACAAAGAAAAAGGGGGGGGGTAGATAAAGGAAGTTGTTTAAAAAAACTTTGAAATCAAGGTTTGATACTTTTGTCACTGTAGGTACTCATTTAAGCCTTTCATCATGGAATGGTGGGGGAAACATCACCAGCACACAATCAAGTACATAAAGGGTAACAAATATTCTATGTATACGAACAATAACATGATATATAAAACACAGGCTTCTTTTTTTTATTTTGCCAGCTTCCATTCTCATTTTTACTTCTTTTTCATTTTTCCTCTTTTGCTACAGAAGGACAAGACAACTCAGACAAATCCGACTCTAAGATGCAAGAAGAAGTTTAATGTGGCTCTTCTAGCTTTGTGAAGGCAAGGCCACCAATTGTTCATTCATTTCAATGCCAAACAGTGCTCTGCACATATTCCACACTAAAATGAATGGGCCAGTTTGTCCTTACAAGGAGCCCTGTGCACACTCTGGAATCTTAGGATAAAGTCTAGTGTGTTTATGTGCTAGACAGATCACTTTAGGTTAAGTGGGTGTGAGGGTTCAAATTTTACCTCCTCTGGTTTCAACAGAGACACTGGGGACACTCGCTTTGGAAAATCATAACTACCGTATTTTTCGCTCCATAAGACGCACCGGACGTTAAGACGCACTTAATTTTTAAATACTGAAAATTAAAATAAAATAAAAATATATAAACAGAGCAAGT